ATGTTTGAGGTGTTCATCTTTCATTATCTAAGTGCTTAGAGTGATATGGTGGAATAGCATGCAAATTATTCAATGACAGTTAAATAGGGCATCTTGACTTATTCTACGGGAAGCTTTCTTGGATTTTATGGCTACAAGACAGCTTATCTACAGGTCCACTCATATCAATGTGAGAAAATTCAACTGTTCGGTCTTACCTAGATGCAAATTATGGTGATTACACCTCTTATTCATATCTACATAAAGTTCAAATAACAGTTTTATCCAGTGAAAGAAGATTCACTAAACATTTCTGTAGTAGAGTACATCTGATATTAAATATTGTTATCTAAACTAGTGTCTACAAGGATGAATTCTTGGTTTAACTTCTGGATCTCCTCTGAATTATATTATAAATTTGAAAATCTGAAATTTTTACCCTGGGCTCCTTAAGAAGTAAGTGCCTCCTAACTTCTATTGCTCCATCTACAGAAACTACATATGCGAAACATGATGTACCGGCCAAGCGAAGGTAGAACCCATGTTGTCAGACTATAGAGGATGCATATTTGAACAAAAAATTAAGAAAAATTACGAATTAAGTGCACAATAGTTCAGATTTCATTCTAAACTTTTTTGACAAATTATGCCCAAAGTATCAGGAACATGAATACAATTTAGATTCTTTATCTTAAATATCAATTCCAAGATGTTGTAGCACCTATCTTGGATGCAGTCGCCTTTCGTTGTATGAAAGTAGACTGGTCCCGTTTTCGCAAATTGTCAGTGTTGTCAGGGCGACCTAGTTGAACAAAACCACCCGGCATGTCAAGGGATTGACTCTCTTCGTCCCTTTGATGAGTTGGAGCTGGGTGCTAAGACTGACAAGACGCATTTACGATGCTGACGATCGTCTCAGAATGTACCGATTGCCATAACTGCTAAAGTAGAGGACTACGGACAAGGCATGTCGAATTGACGAATAATAGGTCAGACCACTTCCAGATTCCTGATACTTTCGGTTGATTTATTATAGGAATCCCAATTTCCAAAATGAACATCTACGCTACTCCGAATTAGATTCAATTTTAACGTTTAGGTATCTCATTTTCTTGCGGACCAATACATCTCCCCATATGTCAACCTTAATGCATAAAACTTATTCCTATTTATGACTAGCCTTAATTAGGGATTCAGCTCTGATAATTTATGTTTGCATCCTAACAATGACTCAAATTTCTTGTGTCTTAATGACTAGCCTACTCCTTTTTTGTCAGAGTTTTTCCTTTAGCCTTTTTTGCGTCTTATTTGCCTACAGCCAATTCTTCCTATACCCAGCCATTCTTTTTACCATCCGTTGGCCTATCCTTCACCTCTGTTCATTCGCATTTCATCCACTTACGGCGTGCACGAGATGCAGTTATTTACATTTCCAATATCTCCACTTCCCTTTGAAGCACCCTCCGTGCTCTGCCAGTGCACGTTTCAACACTACAAAACCTCATGGGACGCTCAGCCTTGCCTGATGCCAGTCTCCCCTCATCCACAAAGATGCAAAGTTACAGATGCACTCCCCCATAAGACTATAGTCCGGAATCCACTTGCTTTCTTCCTCCACCTGGCCTTCTTTAGTGTGACTTGCATTCTCACACGAAAGCAGCTGCGAAGGCGCCCAACTGTCAACAGGCAAGGATTGTGGGGCTGGGCGTAAGGATGAGGAGGTTTTAGGTAAGGCGATTCTGTGGATTTTTTTGGTACAGAGCCGGCAATGAGGTCGATTAGACAGCCAAGATGAGCCTCGTGGACAGAGCGAGGCAAGTTGGCCCGGGCTGAGAGGGCAAAGGTCAAAGCTGTAGTCAGCCTGCCTGACAGGCGGACATACAGTCACATTCTCCCTTTCTACTGTCTACCCTTGAGCACACAGACAACATTTTGTATGCAAGTGATAGCATAAACGACTTGGTTTAATGACTTTATTCATCCTAATTTCAAGGGAGTAGCTTTCTACCGCAGTTACCTTACTCAGTAGTGACTTAGATCTGAGTCGTTGGTGAAACTATTTGCCCTCTATGGATCTAATGATCTTATCATTTATCGTATTCAGTTTGGCATCGTCATTGCGATGTTTTGCCAGAAGAGACTACTTGCACTGTCGATAAGTAGAGTATGCATCACTAGGCTGGTTTGATCTTAAATGGTCCCACAAAAGGGAGTTACAATAGAAAATCACACCCAGCTTGATGAAATGGTGTATTTAACCCATATGATAAGGATAATTGGACGAAGGATGCGCCTGGCAGCATAGTTGAATAAACAACTCTGCGTAAATGGGCATTCGGAGCTCTCAAATTCGAGCGAATATAAAAGACAATTATCTCTCTCACGCACTCCCTCACTGGAGTAATTGGCTAATTGAAGTGAAATACGCTCCTCTTGAAATATCACAATCTAAATGATATGAATATTTTGACCAAGTATCTCTTACATTTCATTTAAATTACAAGTCTATTAGCATGCCAAAACATACTTATGTAGAAAGTACAACAGTCATATTTATTAATTTTAGTGACCCTTGGTCAAAATTGATTTCGTATTTCATACTTTATTGTTTAGGACGAGTTTCAATTATAGATCTGCTTAAAAGTTGTTAGGGGGAACTTCATTTCGAATGAAAGTACATGATGAAGAGATTCGTTTGTCGTTCTCACC